GGGGGAGGATTGTTGGTGATTTTAGTGTCAACATGTCATTTTAAGTAACTGGAACTAACATGTGAGCTAAGGGGCTTCATGATTTGTACTCTAATATATGTACGGGGTTTTACGGAGTGCACACATGTATAAGATCGAGTCAGAAGACGGTTCGACAACAAGTCGGGGGTCCGGGGGCAGCGCCCCTGGGTCCGGGGTTTCCAAAGGGGCGGCGCCCCTTTGGCGGGGTCTAGGGGCAGTGCCCCTAGCGGGGTCAAAGGGGCAGAGCCCCTGGCTGGGGTCTCGCTGCCAGGTCAGCGGGCAGGGTCGAGGGGCAGCGCCCCAAAACCTCAACGAATTTTGCATGTGGGAACATAATGGAAAACTCAATTTCTTGAGGGTGATTATGGTAAAACTAACGAAACTCGTTAGTTTTGGTAACCCTAATCCGGATTAATATTACTTGCTTCCAAAGCAACTAATGACGACCCAACCCTAATGAAACCCTAATCGTGTTTATTATATAAACGACTCTTCATTTCCAGAAGGTGTTACGTTTTTTAGCTCTCGTTTTCATCACACATTCACAGAATCTTTCAGCATATTGGCTTACGTTTTCTGTGCCTAGAAATGTAAGTGTCCACTTGGATTATCCTAGGCTGAATTTCTTGTAACCCAGGCATAGGGTATAAATATCAGTTCGGAAAGTGATATCACGATCCAAGTTGGTATCCAGATCTCCACCAAAAACCCTACAATTCCCAACAACACACACACAAACATGTAACTAATGCGAGAAAAATAAAGAACAAAGGTGTTACATGGTTCATACTTCATACGATCAGGTCGTCTTACATTCACGGCTCTCCATCCCTCCAAGTCCCTCCATCAACCATCACACCCCAACTCAAGATCCAGAAAAAAAAAAATACTCCACAACTCAACAATTACAATAATTATTTTTTACTTATTAACCAAAAGAAGAGTTATATTATTTAATAAAAATATATGTACAAGGTTTTTTTTTTTTTTTTTAGTTTCACATTTAGATAGTTCGTAAAATTACAACAAAAAAAATTAATATAATATTATCATTTTAGAAAAGGTATTATGTAGAAAGAATACACTGATTGACTCAATAATGTAAAAAGAATGCAATGTGACTCAATAATGTAAAAAGAATGCACTGATTGACTCAATAATGTAAAAAGATGTAATGCTGAGTCAATAAGATAAAAAGAGGGACAATCCTAATTGACAATGGTGGCCCTAAACGACTAAAGGGCGACTGAGACTTCTTTCTTTTTTATACCGTAAGAAATGCTCTAGACCGATTTTGACCACAGTGCAACTTCTTTTTTTATATCATAAGAATCATCCTTCTTGATTTTTGGATCTGATATCAAAATCTTAGAGAAACATAAGGACAAAACAACAACTACTTTTGATTCATTCATTTATAGCTAACTGAATATTAACGGAAACGATGAGACCTATTAAAATTACACTACGGAAAATAAAATATAAACAGAAAAATCAAACTGAGAGTCTAACATAGCAATTAGCATCAATTAACCAATGTACACAGGTTAAACTTCATAGAATTTCGGAAAACGGACTAAGCTTACAAGAAAAAAAATTATTGTAAGTTTGAGAAAGTGGTTACCGGATCTAGGAGACAAAGGTTGATATCTTCAATAGTGGGCTTGAATTGGGGATTTTTATTGCCGATTTCTATTTTGCCTGCTACTAGTACTGCTTCACCATCACCATCGCCGGCTGAATTCAAAGTTGTTCTGTCATCTGTGTAGTTTTCATCTTCCGATATCCAAACCAGCAAACGATCAGTTGCTGGACAGTAAGAAAGTCACCAATGTTTTTGCTATTGGCGATAGGCCTGACAATCGTGTCGTGTTCGGGTTGGCGTGTCGCGGGTTGGCAGGTTGGCGGGTCAAAATATGCCAACCCAAACAC